TGTAGTCCTGATCCTCTATATGAACCAGTCTCAGTGTAGTCCTGATCCTCTATATGATCCACCGTGGACAGAGACCCAGACCCAGATCCTCCAGCAGAGACCGGTCCACTGTGGACAGACCCAGATCCAGGAGCACCGGAGGGAGGAGGAGAGCTCAGCTCCCGGCAGCAGCAGCGTCTCCTCCTCCTCCTCCTCCTCCTCCAGGAGCAGAGCTTCTCCTCTCTGCTGGAGACCCAGGACGTATTGCTGGACCCGCTGGAGGGAAGGGAGGCACGGGAGAACCAGAACCAGGACTGAGAAGGTTCAGACTGTCAGACCTGCTGCAGTAGAATGAGAGGTTTTCTAAAGGGACTCTGGTGCTCAGAGATACTACCACTTTAGTCCACAGGGGGCGCCCGAACCAACACATGAAAGTTCCTCGTAGCTTTTTAACAAATAAAACATCAGAGTGATGTCATAGAAGGTTCATTTTATGTCATTAAGATGTCCCAACTGAAAATAGAATAAAATGTCTCTAATAATAACAACTAGAAAATTTCGCAAGAAATTTTGACAGTGTGTCTTCTACTGTTCGAAGACGTCGCAATAAATAGCTACACATGCGATGTTACCGGTAGTATCGTTGAGGTTCGATTGATATATCGCTTCTCTCTTTTCTGCATTTTAGATTCATACTCTTGGATTGAATCTTGTGTTCGTGATGGACAGTCCACAAATGGCTCCCGTCATTTCTGTACAAACCTCATTCTGAGCTTCATGTTAAGATACAGTTACTCTATGGGGCTTTTATTTTGAAAGGGTGGGACTGGGTGGGGGAGAGAGGGGGAGAGGAGACATATTCATAATGTTTGACACACAAACACTGAGGTTATTAAATGACGGGCTTCATCACAAGCATTCCAGTTAGAATTCACTCTCTGGGGCTTTTATTGTGAAATGGGGGGGGGGGGGGGTTCTCTAAATATATCTAAGACCTGAATGACTGTATGATAGAGAGAGACAGAGACAGAGAGAGAGAGAGAGAGAGAGACAGACAGAGTGATGAGTGACAGAGAGACAGACAGAGAGGAGGTTGTGGAGGTTTAAAACAAAGGATGAGAGCTTCTTACTGCGCACGCGCACCAGAAAAATGAGCTGGATCCGGTTCAAAATCAAAACAATATTTAATGTACTACACAAAGTTCACTTACAAACTCAATTAACTATCAATAGTAATGTTCTCGAGAACAGAGACCACATGCACGCTCCTCACAGGTCTGGCATTCCAGGTACTGAAAAAGAGGGGCGGATGTGGTCTGAGGAATGCTCCCTAAAACATTGTCTGTTATATCCCCTGACAGTCGGAAAGTGTCCGAAAACATGTGAATGATCCTCCGTTGATCAGTGATTGGCTCCATTTGAATCCTGTCCCCTCCCACTATCGATCCTTTGTGGCAAACATCCTGAACTCCTCCTCTGTGACCTGCTGGTCAGCTGTCCGTCCCTCTGCTCTCTGCTGCATTTCTGGAAAGCCTCACTCACAATGATCTCTTTCTGACCCTCAAAACTATTCATGATTTTGAACAAAACCTCCTTTTAACAAAAAGCAGGAGTCTGAGTGCCAAAATATGGATACCGTGAGAAAGATAAGACTCTTCCGAACGTGCTGATGTGTTTTTTATGTTTGTGGTGTTAATAATGTGAGCTCCAGAGCAATATACAAAACTGGTACCGTCTGCTGTCTTTGAGAAATGAGTGGTGAGATTTAACATGCAGTCTAATGGAGCAGTTGGTTGGAGTTCATGTCGCTCTGCGGCCCCTTGAGCCAAATGTGAAAGTCCGTTGGATGTCATAGACACTTTACTGCGACCAGCACAACATTCCCAAGAGTTTGGGCCAAAAATGGTGTATAAAGAGTAAAAATTGTGGGAGCTGGAGCAATTTGTTCGGAAAAATCACAGAAGATTTTCCTGCTCCGCTCCACTCTGACGGTTATGCTCTCACTCTAGCTCTTAACGAGCCGTGCAATACACACCCATTATGAAATCTGAAACAGACCCAAAATGTTCCTGAAACTTAATCTGTGACTTCATGAAAACTGTGCTAGCTATCAAAATGTCCATTTGGCTCAATAAAATGCAGCGTTTTGTCTACGTTTTAAACTTTGAATCATGTTTCTACGTTAATGTACGGCTCGTCAATATGGGCCCAAAGTTAAGTGTTTTTTTTAGCTCTCTTCACGCCGCAACCCCATTCAAGTGAATGGAGAAATTTTGCTCAGTTTTTGGGGATTTTCGGGAAAACCGCTAGGCGAATCTGTCCGGAAAATAGATAGCACACTATTCCCGATCAGGCCGCACGTTTTGATGTATTTTTCAAGCCGCTGTTGGCAACACTGTGTGAGGAGAAGCGCACCAAACTTTTGGATAAAGATTATTAGTATGATTAAGCCCGATGGATAATATACAGTGTGCCACACTGAATAATAATAATAATACTCATAATAATAATGAGGTGAAGTAATAAAACACCTGAGGGACACAGCAGGAGGTTCAGGCTGCAGGTGTAGCAGCTCTAAATCCTGCTAAGAGGATCTCACACACACACACACTAAGCTGAGCTTTGTGTGCTGAGGATCAGAGAGGATGCTGGGAGCTGACGGCGGCTCAGTGGGGACGAATCAGAACTGACCTCTGAACCCGAGAGACACACTGAACACGGTAAACTGTGTGTGTGTTCATCAGTAGACCAACAGTGTGTGTGTGTGTGTGTTAACGTGTGTATGTGTGTGTATGTGTGTCAGGTGTCATGGACGCTGTGGATCCGTCTCCTCTGAGGCGTTTTGTCGTGGCAAAGCGAACGATCACCTCCATCTTTGATCAGCTGCTGGACTTTGTGAAGGATGGATCCGCCTTTGTGGACGGTCAGCAACACACACACTCACTCACTCTCTCTCTCTTTCTGTCTCTCGCTCTCGCTCTCTCTCTCTCTCGCTCTCTCTCGCTCTCTCTCTCTCTCTCTCTCTCTCT